TATCAATATTATTACCGATGTTCATCAGACGTTGTAACACATTCTTTCCTCTTCTCTAGTGTGGACTATCGGACGACAAGCTAAAATATTAAAAGGTCGTACTCCTTTCCTTTTTCTTGACACCTGAAAACATGTTACCATACACCATCGTATTCTCTCGTGTCCTGCGAAAAGGAAGAAAAGTGATGGACCGTTTCGATCCATTGTTTCGAGGGGTAAGATATCAAGGAAAATCATATCACAGATTTTCCCTCTGGATAAGGAAAGCTGCGCTCGATGATATCTAATTCCTTCGATATATCGATCCGCGGAGGTATTTACCGTTTCCGCGACTCGTTTTAAGGCGCGACCGCAATATCTTTCGATGATCTTTTGAAACCGGTCAAGCACACCGGATTTCGCGGTTGTATATCGATCCCGGGTATACCGCGATCCGGCCAAATAAATCGTCGGTACGGGTTGAGTAAGAAGATCCGCGGGAATGGCGCGCGACGATACATACCTTTACCTTTATCGTCCAATTAACGATAAGGATTCGTCGCGTTTATTCGAACCGGACCTGAATCGCCTCTACCGCGGACTCGAGACGTTACGATTATTGTCTGGAGCAGCTACGGCTACGATTTTATCGCTCTCTTTCTCCTACGATCCCCTCCGATCGAATTAATCCGCCGCGGTTGGTAGCGTGCGTGGATTGTCTATATATATATATATATATATATATATATATATATTATTTATATATATATGTATGTGTGTGTGTACACTTCACCCGATCGAGACGCATCGTTCGATAACCTCATCTCGTTTCTTTCCCATTTTCTTCTATTCACACTTAAGAAACTCATGGATCTCGTCGCGTGTCAATTTTTATGTATCAAACTCTGGCCCGTTTGCTCTGCCATGGACCACGAGTGATTTTACCGTTAATCGAGTTACGCAATCGCGATATATCGAACCTAAGCACGCGAACCACGTGCCACGTCGTTTCTTCCGTTTTTCGTATTTACCATCGTCGTCGCATCGTAGATACGATACGAGATACTTCTTTCGAATCGAACTATCGAACTATCGCACTGGAAAACGATATTTGTTGTTTAAATCCGGTATCCGGTGATAATTTTCGACCGTTGTTAGCCGCGAACTTACGTTTGAATTTCCGAATTACCATCAACGACACACGGTGTCCCCCAAGCGGTCAACCGTCAAAGTACTGACCGTGACTGACGTAGCTTAACTTTAGTAATCCATTGGGACGTCCAACTTTCCACGGTGCCCGCAATATCACTGGCAGCACGCCAACTCATACAAGCTTTATCGTATCGTAATTCCTTAGGGCCGGTTTTAACTATCGCGAAACTCACCCCAGGTGAGAGAGAGAGAGAGAGAGAGACCGCTTGACTGCTTCTCTTCTCTTCCGGTTCCCACCGATTCTTCTCCTACCCTCCTCTATCTATCTACGTATCTCTCGCTCTAGTTCCACCATTGATCTCGCAGTTCGATTTCCTATCGATTTTCTTTTCCCGTTTGCGTATTGATAGAAGCAGAATGGAACACCAAGCGTGCCTGCGCATGCGCGGCTCCGTATACACCACACATGTACGTAAGAAAGAGAAAGAGGTAGATTGGCTGTTTCGCGGGACGGTTTAATCGCGCGCAATCGCTAGGAGAAATGCCGCGTGTCTTTCGCGGTCGAACGGGCCGAGAAGAAGAGCGCAATTAGCGACCGGCTATAATTTAAGCCGGTTCAATTAATGCATCTGCCGCAGCGACGAGGTTCGACCGCACGCCACCCCTCTTATAGATAGGCGAGGGACGACGAGAGCGATCCTTCTCTCTAACCGTGGCGCGCATTTGGTCCGAGCTCCTCTCTCGCCGTGGTAATTAACGCAGCGATACGTCGCCTTCGCCATCGTACTCGTCGTCGTTCTCATCCTCGCCGTCGTCGTTGGTCGGTTCGTTAAACCAGGCTGTTTTCTTCCCTCCCTCGCCTTATTCGCTCGGCTTTCGGATTTTTAATCTCTCTACGCGGTTTCGACGTACTCGAGGACATCTCGATACGTGCGCTACTCGTCACGCATCTCCCAGACACGAACTCGCCCTTATCGAGGGGCAGCCAGTCGCGATCGAACCCGCGAACCAAGTTGCTCCTAGTCAAACCTGACTGGATTACTCGGGATGGTAATTAACGTCGCGATACGGATTCGCGGTTGCTTCGTTAAATTCTTTTCTCTTTTCTTTGTAAACGATTCGCGTTGTTTTCTACTCAATTCCTCGTTGGAATTTCTCCGCCGTGGTATTTATTCGTTATATGTTCGAGGATATTCTCGAAGGATATATTTATATACGGTAGTTATCCCTACCACTTGTCCCCTACCACTTGAACCCAGTGAAGCGACTAATTTCACGATTTCTTTAAATGCTTCAGTTCTCTTCGTCTCTCACTTGCTGTCATACTCTATAGTTGTCCTTGTTGCAAAGATAAAGCGAGGATAGAATTTCGTGTACCTATTAAACGTTTCTCCTCGTTCGTAACAAATTACTTTACTTCTCGTTCAACCGTCAACCGTGTTTCGAGTCAACGACGAAACACGAAGATTCGTCTAATCCATGGAATATAACCGACCAGTAAGAATTCCGTCTCGCGACGGTGATGGCTCTTTTGCTCGTCGAACTAGTCGGTTCAAAGTCGCGACAGCCTCGTTGTACAGTTATATCCCGGATCCAGGATCGAAAGGTTTGCGCGCTGCCCACTCGGAAGAAGAGGGAAGAGATGGAAGGAAAGAAGAAGAAGAAGAAAACGAAGAAGTGGACGGAGAAAGGAAAGAAAAAGATGGTAAAGGATCGCGCATCTCGAGAGTAAGAGACGCGCACGCGGCGGCGTGGCGCAGCGCGAACGTTGTAAGCCGCGCGCGGCTGTGCGTGCGACCGTGCAAAGAAGGTGTTTGCATTGGCCTAGTGCCGAGGCGTTCGCGGCTTAAATTAATTACCTCGTCCTCCGACGTAACGGGTCTTTGCCCGATGCGCGCAAACTCGCTCGCCGCTTCGATAGCTCGATACCATTTTACCGGATTTTACCCCGAACTCTTCTCTATCGACCTCGAAACGAAATATCGAACTTCGAGAAGATATACTCGAAGTCTCGGCTTCGAGTTATTTTTCAATCGTCCGTTTGTTCATCGTTTCGATCGTTCGCGCGAAAATCGATGTTTTCAAGAGGAGAGCCTGTGGGGATAGCCGAAAACGCGGTTGATAAATTAGGAGATTCGGTCTCCTATTTGTGATCTCTCCGAAAAGATCTTATCGATCCGACGGTAGACAGCGTGGCAACGTCATTATTACGAGGACCCGTGACGATCGTTATCGATACGTAAAAGCATTAACGATCGTTTTACGATGCTCGATAAACACGACATTCAATAAATGCATATCGTACAGAAAGCGAACGCCAATAAAAATATCTATTCGATACGTGGAGTAGCTATTACGATAAATTAATCTTAAATTATGCTTTGCGCATTTCCTGATACGCTCGCTTTGCGTACGCTTCGTCATGCATTCGCGTCCGTCGCGTCATTCTATTCAAAACCGTACCTTCAATCTATTTTTCGAAAGTCGCTTCGATTTTCTTGTCGATTCGATCGCACGATATCTTCTTTTCTATACTTTTTAATTTCAAAGCAGCAGATTCTCGTTTTGATCCGAACTAACAACCGACACGCGGCACAGGTACTCGACGCGCTCTTAATAGCGAGCACTCTCGAAAGGGTGGTTAGAAAAAAGATTGAACGGCGTGGTAACTGAGAAAGGCCTGCTTTCTCCGTGAACAAGACGAGGCGCCGGGCGACAACCAATTAGGCCTAAGAACCGGACGAGTGTTCTCGTAGAGCGATACAGGCCGCCGTCGCCGCCGCCGCCGCCGGCGCCGTCACATCCCTGGAAAAGGCACTCCAACTCCGATCCCTTTGCATCAGAATCTTCGTCATTCTCAGATTCCAGATCGTTTGAAACAATCCATGATTGAATCATCGCGTTCACGTATCTATTATCCTCCCGTATTTATTATTTTTTCTTTCTTTTAATTTTTATCTTTTTCTAATTTACGTTTTTTCATTTTTGAATAAGAAAAAATTCTCTCTCTTTTGGATTAAAATTAAAATTAAAATTTTTATTTGTTATACGTTCGAATTCTTCTTGCAAATATTATATTCGGGACATAATGAATAATTTCACATTACTATAAAATGTCATAAAATTTTTTAAATGTTAATGTTTTAATGCGTTCTCGTTAGTTATCATTCTATATCTATGATTGTCGTTGTCCATAAAGATAAAACGAAGCTCGAATTTCATATTCCTAGCGGCTAGTTCCAAAATTAATAATGAATAAATATTTCATATATATATATACATACAAATATTTTATTTATATGTATATATTTATATATTTGGATCGAGGCATATTCTTATCTTATTAGTTTTTACGGGAAATGGGAAAAGATAACCTACCAGAGAAAGAATGACGGTGCCGGCATATTTCGATGTATCGCGATAACGATAATCGAACGATCCGTTAAACACTATTCCTAGTATTTGCAAATCAACATTTCAAGAAATCAGGAATACTTTACCACGTTGCATTGTATTATTTTATTTATTTCATATGATTATTGTATAAATATCTTATGTCACACGAATCTACGATAAGAATGAATCTTAATATCCTTTACGATTTACGATTAGATTGAAAAAGGAAGAAAAAACGGAAACTGATAGGTGTCGCGACCTACCTCCATTGTCGTTATCGTTAATTAACGCCGATAACCAAGCATACAGATAACGACCCGTATCCTTCTATTGTAACAAATGGCACAGACCGATTATCACAATCGCAACAAAAATAAATGTTTTCATCCACTTGAAAGCATTGAGTCGAATAAATGCACAGGTTTATGCGCTAAAAAGCGAATCGCAATTGTATAAAAATGGCGTCTACTCACTCGTAATCAGCCGTCCAAACACGACATTGTAGCGTTCCAAGCCAAAGTCGAATTGCCAGTTGATTTCTATTTCGTTTCTGCTTCTTTTTATCCTCTGACGATTATCGTTGATCTAACAATCAAGAAACATCAATCGCTGTTGATGTTTGACTCACACTACCGGTAAAATTTTTCGCCGACAAACCGAAATGATCGCGTCACCGATTCGATCGAAATCTCTCGATGTCGATCATCGAGTCGAACGAGTTTGAGGTGAAAACTGTTTTGCATTCGCGTTTTATCGAGAAGAAGTCACCAATGACAGATCAACATGAACGATCCTCGTAATCATTTCGAAAAATCAATGAAACACACTTACTTTTCCGTTTGATGGAAAACACTTCGATCCTGTCTTCTCACTGATGTATATACACTACGATCATTGATAATTTTCGATAAACGAACGAATCTCGTTCAAAACATTGCCATGGGCAAAGAAACGCGAAACGTCTGTTCTGAATCGAGCACATTCGTCGAGAAATAGGGCAAACTTTGGGCGAGGAGTTTGAAAGGACGGAGCGAGAAAGAGTTCCAGAACGCGGTGCAACCGATGACTGCGCGGCTTCGACACTGACTTGGACAGTCACCTTTGGCGCGGCGATCGTTGCCTAAACGGGGAGGGGGTGGTTTGAGTAGACTCGCGAAGGCGAAGGCGAAGGCGAAGACGAAGGCGAAAGCAGTCGCGGCGTGGTTTAACGCGGGGGCGGGGGCAAAGGCGGAGGCGACTCTCGAACCTCGACCCGAGTCGAGCCGAAGGGCGAACGAAACCGCATCACGGACTACGGATCTCGGAGAAATCGCGTGCGCGCGCGCACACCACCAACGGTTACGAGAGAATCTTCAAAGAACAGTGAACACGTATATACGAAACGGGCAAGTTTCGCCCGATAGGAAGCGAGACGGAGCTAATGGTGGGGATGAAAATTGCGAGCGAACGCACGCGACCGGTAGCCTCGAGGAGGAAGAACCACGGTAGAGATAGAAAGCAGAGAGGCGGTCCGAGGCGGTGTATCGTGTTCGCTCCCGGGAGGCGGAGTCTCGACGCCTACGAGCGAAGGGCGTTGAGCGACCGATCCCCAAGCAGACACGCCGCGGCGCATCGCTCGAGCAATTTTCATAAAATCCTTTTTACTCTATGCTCTTTCTACGTCTCTTCCACTTTTTCATTCTCTCTCTCGCCTCTCTCTTTTCCTTATTCCCTACCATCGCATTCTCAAGCCCTATAATGTCCGACCAGATCGAGTGCGGATAAGCCTTGTCCGCGACCGGATCGTACTTCTCCGATATCTTCGAAAATCCGCATTACTCCGCATTGCATTGCGTAGTACTGACTTACGAACCTACGCCTAAGTCGTATACCCTTCTTCTCATTCGTTGATCGTCTCGATGCATTTTTTTTCCCGTTATACGAAAATATCGTGCCACGAAAAATCGTGGAAAAAATTGTGATACGCTGTTATATTCAATTCTATTTTTGTTAAAAAAAAAAAAAAATACAAATGAAAAATAGATTTAGCGCACGTCATCTGCGACTAGAACGCGTTCCAAACGAGCGGAAAGCGACGAAGCACGCGCCTATTTTGCGCCACTTAACGATCCCCTATCGGAAAACCGGACGTAGCGTGCCAGGTAGGAACCCCTGCGAGTCGATACTTATCGGTGACGCCGGAAGTTCGCATCCAGGGAGACCCTGAGCTAAAACCCCTCGTTCTTCGCCCCTGGCCCCTATTACCAACCCCTAACCATAGATCATACCGAACCTCTGCCGTCGCTACCGCTGACCACTAGCGCAGACCACCGTGGCGTAGATCACCGCCTTCCCCCCCTGTTCCAGGTCGCACCCTTTTGCACGCACCCGCGTTTTCCGCCCGAAAGATAGATACTCGATTTTTCCATTTCGAGAATTAGTCAAACAGCCCACTTATACCATTTCGAACGAATCGATACGTGTCAATATTGTCTTTCATGAGTCCTCCATTGTTTTTTGAAACAAGCTAAAAAGTTATATCTAAGTTTCGTCTAACGAACTTTCTCGATTGTAACATTTTATTCGTTATAAGTCCGTTGCTCAAGAAGCTTGACTACGAGCAATTAACTTTTACGAGCGAATGAAATTTGAGCTATGTTTTTATCTTTGCGCATATTGAGAGAGATGAAACGATTAGTGAAAGACGAAGAAAAGATGAGTGGTCAGAGCATTTGAAGAAATTTATGACGTATACCTGGAGAGAGAAGTTTACGTGCAAAAACTAGGTTTAAAAATATACGACTTCGATTAAGAGGGAAAAAGAAAAAGAGTGGTAAAACGACGAGAATAATCGCAAATGGTTTGTTTTCGTGAAAGCAAGAACGAAAGTTGAAATATATCGTGCCTCGTCTTTTTCGAACGATCGATCGTGGGCAATGCGTTGGTCAAATCTGATATTTGAACGACCGCGTTAATGGCTACGCGATTCTTTGCGTCTTCGTTCGTGAGATTAGAAGAGGATAGAGAAAAACGGAAAACTGTATGTTTTGATGTGATGTTAATGAAAAATGGATAAATATCATGATATGGTATTTACTCGTTGTAATCGGCCATTTCTTGCGAAGATATACATCTTGCGGAATATACGGAAGTTATTTGTTCACACATTAAAGATTACTTAATTGCTCATTAAAATTAATTAAATTACAATTGCAATTTTTTAAATTAATTAACATTAACAATTGGAATATTGTTGAAAAAAACAATTTTTTTCACGTGTAATATTTTCATTTTGGAAATATTTTTTATATCAAAAAAAAACACGATCGCGAATTAAAAGATCAAGACGAAAATTTCGTCTTGGAAGAGAGTGAAGTTTGCAAAAGATCGCTAAAACGAAGAAAGAGTTTTGTCGAAACTAAGCGACCGGTACCGAGAAAGCAAAACGATCTTTCGCTTCGAAAGACGAAAATTATCTCGCCAAACGGGTAAGCAACTGCTTCCAGGAAAGAACAGGCTTACGTCTCCCGATTTTTCTTCTTCCCTTCTTTTTTTCTCCGTCTTTCTCAAGCCGCGATCTTCCATGAACAGGTTAAAATCGCGACCAGGCAAATTCTTTCTATCAGGCAAACTTTTAGAAATTTCTTTGCCGCTTTGAATCCACGATTCTCCATAAGGATATCCATATCCATTTGAGACGAAAATTTTTCACAAAAATTGCTTTCGAGAATAAATTTTTTCGCAACAAGTAATTACCAATTTAATGTCCACTGATGAGAAATAATTCTAACGAAGAATAACTCGCGTGAATCTTAACATTGAAACTCGTAGTCTAAGGGTTGATCGTTTCCACTTGGATTCGATTCGGTCGCGTCGTAGGTCTGATCGCTCGAATAGAACGGAGGACCGGATTATCTCTTTAGGACGGATAGGATAAAATACGAGTGGTGCAGCGTGCCGTTAAGTAACGACAGAGATAGGCGTGGCGCCGATCGGAAAATTGAAGGGTGCAGCGATATACGTACCAACATCCATCGAAAACATAATCATCCTCGTGTTTATTCTTCCGTTTCATCATCCACTGTTTGAGAGATGAGAAGTCGGTATGAGAATGTCAGAAAATTTTTTGCCACAGGAGCAAAAGTAGAAACTCATCTCGCCTCGATTCTCTCCTATCTTTACGCTCGTGATACAAGATTGTGGTATAATAGATATGATTAAAGATAATAAAATTATGAGGATTCCTATTTTATCTGTTATATTTACACCAAATTTCTTCAAATTCTTTCTTCGCTTCATCGCTTTGCTATATTCCATATATTTCGATATATCTCATTTACCTTTTTTGTTTCGAGAAAAATTTGTAGATTGACTCAATCGGTAACGAAAATACGCGTCAAGAAACGTCAAGAAACATTTTTTATGGCCAGATCAGAATTGGGCACTAACTCGCTGAAAAAGTAACTGGTTAAAAATTTTTAAGAATAAAGTTACTTTAAGTAATTAACTTCCTAAAATAATAATTTATTCGTAGCTATTATAATTAATCCGCTCTTCGTATAATTTCGCTCGTTTGGCGCTACGATTATCTGCGATTATTCGACGCTTTGAATAATAAATTATCGAAGTAACTTTATTCTTAACTTCGCCTATTAAAATACAATTTGTGAATAATTATTAATTCATCCGTTACAATCTATCCATCAATACAAATTTATATCGATCACCAATATCATTTTCTTATCTACACAGTATTTCATCTAAGTATCTCATACTCCCAGATTCTCTTCCAATCCGTCCACGATTCCAACCGATCTTCGTCGCCGGTAATCTCGATCGGGCCACAGTTTTTCCGATCTTCGCAGCGATCCTCGCATTTCTCAGAGACAAGGCGAAGCGAGCCTCCGCAGAACGCCTTTCACTCGCGTAGCCGTGATCGCGCGACAATAAATCAACCGACACGCATTAAGCATTAACGCATTTACATATCGACGTTCCACCGCGCACTAAATCACGCTCGATTTGAAAATAATGCGTCCTACGAATTTATAAAGCCGTTTCGGGGGAGGGGTGAGATCTCGTCTACTCGTCCGTGGAATCGACGGCAGGAAGAAGCGACTTCGAAAACGAGCGAAATTCGCGGGAATCTCGATCACCTAGGTGAATTGGCCGGCAAAGGGAACGCTCTCTTCTCTAATCTAATCGTCGTTGGTCCGCGTTTCCTCCTCCTCCTCCTCCTCCTCCTCCTCCTGTGGCCGTCTCGAAACGCGCCTCTCCTCGCCTCGCCTCATCTCGCCCCCCCCCCGTCCCGCCTCGTCTCCTTGCTCCCCCTTTCGCCGTCTTCCTGGAAACCGGGTCGCCGGTACGCGGTTGTTTCCACGCGTGTAGGTACACGTGTACGCACGTACACGTATGCGTTCGTGGGTGCTCAGGATCAGACCGTAGGTTCTGTAATAGCCCTGTGGGCGAACGAGTCGCGTCGCTGAAAAATAAGAAAATTCGACGAGGATCGCGGCAAACCACCGTCCGGTTCTCGGTGCGCGAGCTCTCTCGCGGGATCGGACTTGAGGGACCGATCGACACGCGAGCCAATCGACACGAACAAAAGCCCGTCGAAGATGAACGAGAACGAAGGTTCTATGATCTCTGTTCATCCGGAAACAAGGCAGTGTGTATAGATATATAACACTGTAATATAGGTTTCAATATTCGGTTATCCGATAATGATCGATAATTGGAAATAATATGTGGAAGGTTGGAGCGAAGGGATGAGATTCTGATCGATTATTTTGCAAAAATCATTCGTGGCGCGTATCGTTTTATTATGTATGTATAGTTGTACGAGAGGCGAGGAACAAGCCGGCGACGGACGAGAGGAGGTGTAACGAGAGAAGAATGGCCGGAGCGAAAAATCGTCGGAGAGAAGAAGGAGAAAATACGAGGCGAGAAAAGAGAAGAAAAGGCGAGAACACGCCGAGACGAGGCTTAACTTACGTCCTCGTGCCTCGACCGTGAAATATCGCGAACCGCGGCGATCGGGCTAAGCGATGTTCCAGCCCTGGATCGCGCGCGATCTAATTTGTTGC